TACAGCCTAGAAAACCTTATGAAACTGTTTTCTTCAGTCCCGTGAACTGGCTACGAATTAAAAAAAAATCAACTCAATGGCACCTAACAATAACAAATACAATGGTTATGGCTAACAATTTGAAGTTCTTTGGATGATCCTAGACTTTCTGACAAATGAAACAAATGTTTAAAAGGCAGGAGTGAGGAAGAGGGAGGATAGAGGAAGGGCCCTTTAAAGCCGTGACTCTGCCCAAGGCAGGTCTGCACCGTCACATCCATAAGCAGACATGAAGATGTCCTCCTCATGTGCTATCTCCAATAGCAGGTTCCTGGATGGCTAAGGAGGCCAGCACCCAGCACCTGTAACACAGCAACTACAAGAGACAAACAGGTCTACCAAGGGACCGATGAGATCAATGGACCCATCCCAGAGGGACAGTCAATGTCTGGGTTTGACCACAATCTTCTAGTCTCATAGCTGCAGAAGGACATGCCCTTGGAGAACAACAGAAGGTCCAGGAAGCCTGAAGATTCCTCTCCTCACCATCGGTCACTCACCATTCACCAGAGGGCATGGAGTGTCCACTCTGTCCAGGCATGGGTTGGGGCTCTGAATGAGGTGATAATGGTTCATGCCCTCAGTAGGCTGGCACCCCAGGGTTTCAGGGGCCTAACACAGAAGGTTCATGTTGAAGTGTTACAAGGTTGCTCCAAAGATTTCAGAAAAGGAGACCCCATGCTCAGGATTATCTGTCAAGCTCTCTCGGGACCAGCCCTGACCTATATTGAGCACTGGAGGATGATGGGGGCGCCAGAGGGCAGGGGGCCAGAGGAGCTCTCTGTCATCTTGTCTCTAAGAGTTGGAATCTACTTGATGGTGGTGGAAGAGAAGGCAGAGATATGACTGACATGAACGCAGAGCTGTCCTTGATCACTGTCCTTGATCACATCATCAAACCCGCACCCTCACACTCATCATCACCCAAACCCTCCTCCTCCTCAACCCTCCCCCAACCCGTCCCCTTCCCCTCATTCTAACCCTAACCCTCACCCTCACTCTGACCCTAACCCTCCCCCTCAATCTAACCCTAACCCTCCCTTCCCCCTCCCTCCCCCTCCCCCTTACCCTCACCCTCACCCTCACTCTAGCCTGGGAAGTTCATGCTCTCGGGAAGTGCATCCCATGGCACCTCCATCGATGAGCCCTAAGCTAGAGCTGCATATTTTCACTCTGCCCTGGTGCTCTAACTCAATGACCTTGCTCTGCAAAGTCAAAGTGAACAGATACAGAACTGCCATGTTAAAATCCGTATGTTCACCAGATTCAGCAGCGCAGTTGCATTATATCAAAGAAATGTGAGAACTTTCGCATCCTGATGTCATCATTTCCCACTGGAGAACTGGAGCCACTGTAAGCAAGAATCTGCCTAATAAAACACCATTGATCAGACACACGGGAGCTCTGGTAGTAGGGGCGGTGTTACAGGTTGTGCTGCTATCAAATCCACCAGCTGCTCTGGCAGAAGAAAGATGGGCAGTCTCCTCCCACGAGGATTTGTAGCCTAAGGAGGGATGCTATGAGTGGGGATCAACCGAACAGCAGTGGGCTTGGTCTGGGACCAGATTTACAGGAATGAGCACAGGGGAGGCAAGCAGGCAAGCCAGAGGACTTTCTTGGAGGCCTGGAAATCACAAAGCTAAAAACCATAACAAATGCAATTTAGAAAAACACCTGTTTAACCCACTTACAAGATAAACAACTGCCTTGAAGAACAAGGTTACGACTTCTCCATGAAGCCATTCCTGGCCGCTTCTAATCTCTTCCCCATTGCAGGCAGTACTGTATGACAACATGGCTTTGAACTCAACCATATCCAATTGTGTATTGTTTACATTTTTCAAAGGCCCTGACTGAGTATCAAGTCCCTAAGTTATGTGAGGCCAAGGACTAACTAGATCTGAAGCCTCCATCCACAACTTCTAGAACTATTAAGCTCATAATAGGTATTCAGTAAATCTGGAATTGATTAACAGATCAAAGACATTAATTAGAGTGTTTACTGGAGATGGCCTAACCCAATAAAAACATTGTTTTAGTGATGTTTTATATATACAACAAGCATAATCTTTGACCCTTAATAAAAAGCTTTGTACATGCCATTTTATTGATATAAAACCTAATAAAGAAAAGCTACAGTAAGCACCAACTGCTTCACTGTGAAAAAGTCAAACAAAACCTAGGCCAGCCTGACAACTTTTACTCACACACGATCCAGTGACATTGATGACATCCTTTGAGTTGTAAATCTAAACCTTGTGTCCAAATGTCATGGTTTGGGAAATACAAGTCAACTTGTGGGAAGAAGATGAACAGTCAAAAGAGGAGGAATGCTGTGATAACTTTACACGCGTGGTTTGGCTCGGGTAAACTCAGTCCAGATAAATCACCCGCCAGCCCTGATGTCTTAACTACTGTCTATGCTCCGTGTCAGATTATAAGGCTGAGCTATCATGGATTCTTGACATTCTGGGAGTTGTCACTGGTTCATTCAACAAGTGTTTATTAAACTCTGGGTACTCGGCAGAACGTACTTTGGAGTTGGGAACCTGCCAAGACACAGGCCCTATGATTCACATAAACATGTGTGAGCGATTTTGTCTACAACATACACTTAATTGTCTAAGAAGAGCATCAGTGGCAGAGTCAGCCCAGGACTGTGGGGCAGAGGTGCTGGTGCTTCCTATGAAACTGTCATTTGAACGCACAGTCCTCTGGGTTCTCTGCCTTCTTCCTTAGATACTATCCTTAAAACTCAAGCCCACTACCAGTAAGGCAGTGTGGGCCCACAGCGGCGCTGGAGGACAGCAGATGGGCCCCACACTGTTGCCATGATATACATCTTTATGGAAGCAGACTGCTCATCTGTCTCCGTTCAATCCCAAAATAAGAGTTCTTTGCTCCCTTCCTTGATACCATAGATCCTTTTGGCTGGTTCTGACAGGTCGATTCCCTGGGGAGCCATGAATGTGTAGAAAACACATAGTCTCAGTTCTCGGTTATCGTCCCTGGTAGGATTGTTAGTGTAACAGAGAGCCCACACGGCCTTCCACCACCTGAGGAAGATGGCAGGAGCTTAGCCTCGCAAGTGGAGGAGGTTTAGAACAGCAAGCAGGCCACAGTGGTTTCCGAAATCGGATATGCATTTTGTAACTGTCACTGATTTATGTGGAGTGTGACCTTTGGGGACTGAACAAATGAGCATAGCTCATCAGGGACACCTTCCAAGTCAAACTAGAGGTGCTAGACTGCAGTGACAAATGAGAATAATGCATCCCCAAAAAAGACTGGCTGAGCAGATGGACTAAAGCAGGCAAGCAGTCCCAGCCACTTGACGTTGACACACCATGACCGCGCGGTTAAGCCAATCAAGCTTCCATCTGACCATACTCCCTTCTCTACACTGTCGCTTTTAGCTGCTGGTAAGTCGGCCCCCAACGCATGGCAGCCCACATACTACAGCGCAAACCTGCTCCTCTGGGCAGCAGGAGCCTCAACAGCATGGCCGCTCCACGTAACTCACGCAACCACGGAGACAGAGCCCCGAAGCTCCTTCTATCACACCCTCTGTGTGTATGAAACAAAGCAACCAGCAGCCAAAAGTGCTATGATTGATGCCTTTGTCACAACACTGTACACGGCGACATCGTATAAGCCTGAGGGCTGTGGTGCTGGCTTTTACTATCCACTATTACTCAGCACCCCACGCAGAGTGTAAGAGCTGCTGAGAGGAGCCCGTAAAGGGTGTGGTCACACACAAAATCCCATCACCATGGAGTTAACGGGGACTTGGAGCAGCCGGGAAAAACAGAAGTGCGGGCACAGGGATGCCAGGGTCATGCTCTGTACAGGCGCAGTCTCCCACCTCTTCCTTCAGCAGTGGAATTGGGATGTTCCAACTACCTGTCCATTCACCTTTTGGCTAGAGCCCCGTGTTTAAACCGCTGTGCCATCTGGGCTCTTGTACCTTGCTCTCAGAACTCCAAATCCACAGCCTTGGGGCTGATTCTGACTCACAGCCACCCTCCACCAGATTAGCAAGGGTGTAAATCTTTGCAGGAGGAGACTGCCCACCTTTCTCCTGGGGGGCAGGGGTGTGTCTGGCTCCCAATGCACTAGGCCACCACAGGGGCTCCTGTGCACTGCGCAGCACCTTTAAATAGCAGGCAGCTAATAAATATTTACGGGCACGTGTCAGTTCTATCCAGTGAAAGCCAGGGAATAGAAGCCAAGAGTTCAACGATAAAGATAAACACAAGAGCTCCAAGAGGGCACATCCCCCGGGGCTTGGGCTCTGTTTGCTGTGGGTAAGAAGGGTCGGCGCGGGTGTGTGCAGTGCAGGCGTCCTAGCTCCATCCTGGCTGATGTCTCAACAAGCGCCCTGGTGACGATAACACAGAAGCTACATTTTCAGAAAGCCCGTTCCTCCTCTCTTGGCGCCTCTGCTCCCTTTACCCGTTTCACTTTCCCTCAACACAACCACATCCACCACCCACCCTCCTTCCTCACCCTTCTCCCCATTGAGGCTGTGACAGCAACACACTGTCCCAGCAGCAGCAGGTCAAAGACTGCCAAGTGCCCAGTCTGTCCTTGTTGTTGACTTTGTGTTTTCAAAACAAGACGCAAGCTGAAAAACAGTCATTCATCTTCGCTATGCCTCACTGTTTACACTCACAATCCAGTCCACTTTTCCTCATAAACTTTCCACCTCTTCCCGTCCCTTGCTCCCTCCATAGCAGCTCTCCAACGGGCAAGAAATTCCAGGGAGCGCAAAACATCCAATACAGTCTGAAGGCGCAGCTTCTGGCCCAGAAAACACACACAAGGATCGCCCGGAATCTGCGCTGCGCTGTCTCCCAGCACACGCGGGGCCCCCATCCCCAAGTGCGCCTGCAAACCCATCCTTCCCAGGGCCGGTTCCCACACAGCCAGGGGCGCAGGGTGGGTCCCTCGAGTCTTACCTGAAACACGTGGTGAGCTCTCCCGAAGACTTCAGACACGGGTATTTGGTCGTCGCTATTTTGTTTTCCGAGCAAATTTCTCTACAGACAAAAAAGTTGGAGAAGCACTTACTCTGTTTATTCTAAGCCAGAGGGCTGCGGGCGGCCTGCGCTCTGGGGACCCGCAATGGTAAATGGCTTATCCAAGGGGCCGCCGGGGACACAGGCCGCCAGTGGCCCGCACAGAACGAACCCTGAGCGGGCAGAGGCGGAGCTGCAGGAGCGGGGCGAGGAGGACGACAGGAGGCGGGTGGGGGGTCTCGCCGTGCCCGCCAATGAGAGCGCCCAGGCTGGGGGCGCGGAGGCTGTCACCCCAGAACCAGAGCCGAGTGCAATCCCAGCCAGGGCAGATGTGGGCCCTCTCCGCGCCGGGGGCGCAGGGTGAGGTGGAAGTGGGAGCCGCCCACACCCACCGGCCCGGCGCGCACCAACCGGGGCTCGGGGCGCGCGCAGCGCGGGCACAGCCACCGCGGCTGGCAGCGCCTACCTGTCGCCGTCCTCGGCCTCCTCCCGGTAGCTCCACGTGTGTCCCAGCGCCAGGAGCAGCAGCAGCGGCCCCAGGCTCCTGCCCAGCTGCACGCTGGCCGCTCCTCTCCGGCTCGGAGGAGGCGGCGGCACCATCGGGGACGCTCGCGGCGGCTCCGCGCGCTCGGCGGCTCTCCCGACCCCGCGCCCCGCTCTCCGCGCTGCCGGCCCGCTCCGGCAGGGGGCGCGCGCGGGCAAGGGCGTTTGGCCACCTGCGCGAGGCGCACGGGCTCAGAACGCGAGGGGATGGGCGTCCCCTTGGAAATGGGGTGCGGGGTGCAGATTCGGCGGAGGAGCCAGGAAGGGGTTGCCCGCGAGGCTGGAGCAGCGCGGAGGGACCCGGGCTCCAGGTCCCCTGGTTCGGGGTGTCCCCTGTCGGTGGACAGACTCGCCGGGCTCGGCGCCGGGCTGCGCCTTCTGCTCCCTCCTCTGCCTCCGCTGGGACAGAGCGCGGCCGTTTGCATCTTGCACCAGGGTCGCGGGACTAGGGGGGAGGAGGAGGTGGAGGAAGAGGAGGAGGAGCCGCTTCTCACCCGGGAAAGGGGGAGGAGAAGAGGGTCAACCAGCTTCCTTCCTGTTGTCAGTTGGCTTCTAAGGACCGGGGTCAGCCAGCGTTTTGCTGTTACCCCCTCGACCACTTCCCTGAGTTTTCCGCTCTCCTGGGTTTGTGGTTTTCATTCTCCCCTTCTTTCTTCTTAGTTGAGTAAGAGAGGAAGGCGGGGTTGGCAAGTCACAGCGAGTCCCTCTGCAGACCTGCAATAGCCGCTGGGAAGGAGGGCCCTCTGTCTTCATTAAAATGCCTGAGATGAAAGCCGCATCCCGGCCTTTCACTTGTTAATAAACTTTGCCGCTGCTGGTCCCTGCCTAACCTGGCTTGGTGAAAAGCTCCCCTGGATCCTTCTCCTGGCTTCAGTCTCCCGCCGGAGCTGCGTTCAGGCGCTTCCCAGCTGAGCGCAGAGCAGAGCTGGGGCTGCGGGTCGGTGAGGTGGGGCGAGGAGAGGGTCTTTAATCACCGGGCCTGCTACCGGCTGGTTTATGGGATGCTGGGAACGTGGACACCGTGGGAGGAGTGTGGAAGAGCAGGAACCAGCTCGTGTGGTAGAGACCCTCGTTGTAATTCGCTCAAGGTTCTCTAACCCACAATGGTATTGAGAAAAAGGAACAAAAAGGAAAAAACTCCAGACCTCCTCAAACTCACTAGTTTACAACTATATGAAGGGAACAAGCGGGAACCGGTTAGATAAGGAGATATTTTCGTTCATAAAGTATTCTCCTCTACGGAATTATCGCAAATACATACATGTTGACATTATTGATAGCAATGAACGCCATTCTTCTTGAGTCTATATTCGGTTGTCCAAAGACTTTCTGGGTTGTTATGTGCCGTTGAGTTGGAACCAACTTATACTGACCCTCAGCAGGTTTTCAGAGGCTGTAAATCACCTAAGAGGGAATTTGTCCATCTTTCTCCGATGGAGCAGCTGGTGGATTTGAACTACTTGCCTTTGGAGGCAATGCAACTCCTTACCTTCCGGCCAACAGCGCTCCCAGCATATGTTGTTGTGTACCATCAAGTCTCAGCCAACCCAGAGCTGACAGGTTTGTCAGAGGCTATAAATCACAGGGGAGCGCTGGTGGCCTCGTGGTCAGGCATCACGCTGGCATTGCAGATGTGGGAGGTTTGAATCCCGCAGCCGCTTCCCAGAGAGAAGATAGGCAGTCCCCTCCTCGGTGACTTACTGCCTGGGATGCCTGCTGTAGGGTCAGCTGGAGAAGACTGCTCACTGAAGCTGGGCAAATACACCTCCCTTCACTCTTGAAAGATACCCCTTCCCGTGAGAAACAGCTCTAGAAAAGCCCTGAACATTTGTTCCTTGGAGAGACCTGCCTGTGATCCTCTCGGACCTTCTATGTTCTCCTCCTACAGAATTTTCTTAGAAATCTCTACCTTCCTTATTCTTGAACATGTCTGTATCTCTCCTTCTGCAATGTGGTCTGACTTTCCAGTCATTATTTAGACCCAGCCTGGCAACATTAGCACCTCAGAACACAACAACAATATGAAGGCTGTATGAGAGAGGCAGGTGGCAGGGATTTGCCAGTTTGGAAATAAGAGTGTTGTGAAAAATCTCATTCTTATATCTGTGAAATGTGTGACTTTACACTTGCCCCTCCTTAAAAAAAGTGTTCTGCAAGTTGGAGGACAGAGGCCATCCTGCAGAAAGCTCCGTTTCTCTTTCCTTACTGTTCCTCTAGTGAACACCTTGCTGTCTGTTTTCTCACGGCCGCTCACTTTGTTTCTCTGCTGTCACATCTTGGCTGGTTATTCCACAGTAATATCCAGGGTGGAGGAGACGATGCTTGATGCACTCAGGGAGGTTTGGAATCATGGAGACCCTCTCTCAGGTTTCTGAAGCTGACAATCTTTATGGAAGGAAGCTGCCCATCTTTCTCAAAAGTAGCTGGTGGGTTTGAACTACAGACCTTTTGATTAGCAGCTCCATTCTTTGCACACTCTGCCACCAGAATTTTCTCAGGACTCCTTCCTGTTGTTGATTGTTGGGTGCTGTGTCCCCAACTCATAGAGATCCCGTGTACAACAGAGGGGAGATTTGTGCCCTATCGCACCCTGTCCGCTTGACCTCTGCTGAGCTCCATTTACTACCATTAAGAAGTGATCACGCACTAAACCATGTGTGGCCTTTTCAGGGGAAGTCATTGAGGCTGTGAAATGATAAAAGTAAAACCATCTCCATGTACACAGCTGTGCAGCAGAAGGTGGGGGTGAGAGCCAGCTTGATCCCCCTTCTTTTCATCTAGCACACCAAGCTCCCACCAAAAGTGGATGTGAGAGTGAGCTGGGCCAGGCCAGCAGCCCATATACCTGCGGAGAGGCTGTAATCAGCTGGGTAGGTGGTCTGTCCCTGGACCAGGTGAGCTGAGCAAGGAGGTTTGAAACGTCTGCCTCTGGTCTGGAGTTCCTGCTGGCTTCTGACGGCTGGAAATTGTGTGTGAGCTCAGGCCTGGGCTGGGGAGCCAGACGGGGAAGACTGTCTGGATGTATCTGGAGAACAAGCCTGGAAGCCAAGCTCTCCTGCGAGAGCTCAGCTCTGGCCACATGGGAAGTGTCAGGATGGAGGCTGAGGGGGACTTCCAGGGGCTTAGGCTCCACTGCTCTCGGTCCCCACCCTGTGCACAGCCCACTCCCATCTGTGGCAAACAGGAGGCTCACAGGTCTCGATCAGGGGTGAGCTACACAGACGAATGGCATGCGCCCTGGGAGAGGCTCTGCAGTGGGCCCCCTGTAGACCTGTCAGCTGCCTGAGACAAAACAGAGCTCCAAGCAGCCCACAGCCACCCAGTAAAGGTGTGATCCTGCCGACGGGTCCTGGTGAGTTCTGCTGGTGTCACCCGGGGGCGCTAGAGGTAGGCTCACTGCCTGGATAGACTGTCACCTTAGTACAATACCAGCTGTATTCCTGCTCACACCTGTCTCAGTTCAGTGCAATAACTGCTGCATACCTGTTCACACCTGTCTCAGTTCAGTGCAACAACTGCTGCATACCTGTTCACATGTGTCTCCCTTCAGTGCAATCCCTGCTGCAT